TCCCCCCTCATAAGGCCCCGGCCAAAACCCCGGCAGGACGCGGCTGGGGAGCGGGCCAGCAGCAAGCCGCCCCACGACCGCAGCAGGAGGAAGGGGACCTATTGCGAAGATGGGGGCTAGTAGAGAAGTACGACAGAGACCCGGCCCAACTGCCCGCCTTCCTGAACCAGGTGAGAATCTGCATGTGCACGTGCGGGCACCTGTTTGCCAGTGATGCCTGGAGGGTGCTGTATGTATCCCGCTTCCTGGTAGGCGTGGCAGCTGAGTGGGTGAAAGACTTGAACGAAGCAGAGGCCCCAGAACTGGGGGACTTTGGCCGCTTCATCACCGCCCTGCGGGACCGATTCGAGGACCAATGTGCCCGGCTCGCACGTCGCGGAGGCGATCAGGGAGCTGAAACAAGGAGCGCGCCCCGTGTCAGACTATGCGCTGGAGTTCAAGCGCTTGGTGGCGAAGCTCCCCGACTGGCCAGAAGCATTCCTCGTGTGGCTATTCCAGGAGGGGCTGGACCCACAGCTCTTCGAGAGGGCCGTGGTGCGAGGGTACCCAACGACCTTGGCGGGATGGATCACCCACGTCTCCGTGTTGGAGGCGCAACTGGCCAGGGTCAAACCGCATGGCGTGGAGGCGAGATGGCGGCCTCCTAGCGCTGCACGGCAAACAGGACGGAAACCGGCAAGGAAGGAGTTAACCCCCTCGGCAAGGCCGCAGGCCGCGGGGAAAGCCTGCTTCATGTGCAGCGAGAAGGGGCATTTCGTGGCGGCCTGCCCCCAGAACCCAAGGCTACAAACCACGCCGAAAGGGAAAAAAGCCGAAAAACCTGCAAAGCCAATGAAAGCCCCATGGAAAAGCACGGTGGTGAGAGGCGAAGAAGAGAGGCTGAAGATTGCCTACCTCTCCACAGCGAGGACGAAGGGGAGAGTGCCGGCAAGAGGGAGGAGAGCCCTAGGCGAGACCAGCCGATCCCGAGCAAATCAATCGAGGACATCCGGGTGAGTCTGATGACATATGAGGTAGTGATCGGTGCTCCGCGATCGACTCGTCGGGCCCGGCTCACAGCATTGCTCGATTCAGGTTGCTCCCGGAGTTTGATCAGCCCCGTGCTCGTCAATGGATTAAATTTAAAAGTGTACTGGCTGAA